GGAAGCTGGTGGTTCAGGAAATAGTTAGATTTCTGAAAGCTGACACGCCTTTTATGAATATCAGGCCTTTAAGGTATAGTGTTGTACTGGATCCTCATCCAGATGCGCTGCATGTTGCTGCATCTGCTGCAAATCGGAATTTAAGGTTACGAGATGCTGTACTAAGCAGCTATCATCATAATGAGGTTAGGTATAAAGGTTTTTCTTTGCTTTTTGCCCCAATCAATCACAAAATTTTAACTCAAATTGCTTCTGTTTTGTAATCTGATACATATTCTATTTAATGCCTTTGATTGATTCTAACTTCAATTTCTCTTCACTCCTTGTCCCTTGGTTAGGTCAAGTTTTCAGAGCTCACTCTTGATGTATTCAGGATGCTTCAGTGCTTGGAATGGGAACCCAGCGGCTCATTTTACCAGTCCACTGGTGCTAAAATTAGTCAAAATGGCCCTCAGGGCATACTCGCATTAACCACTCCCAGGATATAGCTGATCCTACTTTGCCACCAAATCCACGCAAAGCCATCTTATATCGTCCATCTGCAACACATCTTTTGGCAGTGAGTTTTATGTATTATATTAATTTTCATTTTCTTGCCTGTTTCTTGGTTAACTGTTTTCAGATATTGACTATTAAGTCGATGTTGATCTAAGTTAGATATAGATGATTATATGTTATGTATATGTATAATGACAATACTGCAACTTAGGAAAGGGAGAAAGCTAATGAAAGGATGAACTAAGACACATTTGGTTTCTCAAATCACAGTAATGAAGTTTGTTACATAATTGTTATTATTTTTTGGATAAAAAGAAGATATAGTGGTAGGAAAAGATGAAAAAAGGATAATAAGGAATCTTCATGCAGCAACCTTAAAATCATAGGAAAACAAAAGGAGAAAGAGTAAAAGGAATAAATCAATACAAGCTAACTGCCTCAGTCCCTTTTCAAAATAGCTAAAGTGACCCCTTGGAAATGACCATGTGCTTGGAGAGATGCCAAAAATATTAATTTGTACTGCAGTAACAAAGGTGATTGAATGGGCCTTTGAAAGCTGTAGGTTTTTTTAATGGAAAAAGAAATATTTTTGGAAAGAGGTGAAAAAGGTGCAGCAGCAGAAGACAAGAAATCCCTCTAAAGCAATAAAAACTATAAAAAGAAAGAGAGAGACATAAAAATTGAAATAACACTATATCCCAGTTTCTTTGCAAAGTAGCCAAAAGAGAAATGTCTGAAGAAGCCATTAACCTTGGCCTATAAAGAAGCAAAACAAAACTAATTTATTCCAGGGGAGAGACTGAGGAAAATTTATTACCTCGAAAAATCTAGCTTGAACCAAAGCACCCACAACCTAGTGCAAATACTCCTCTTCATGACATTTCCATTCCTCATTCCTGCCAAAATTGGTCAGAGGAAGGAGCAAAGACTTTAAGGGATGAGACAGAGGATTTTCTGTGACTGAATTAATTAATTTTCAGGTATAGATTGGTTTACATTGGAAGTTATAATCATTATTTATTTATTTTTTTATAAGCCTTGGAATAAAATATAAAGAGAGTGTTTTTTCTTTCTAATGAACATGCACGAAGAGACACAGTGATGCAGGAGGGAAATGGGTGTTTAGAGAGCTAGCTACTTGGGTAACCTGCAATTTTTTCCTGTAAAAGTGAAGTGTACCTCAGAAATTCGCTTTAGATGGATTGCTTCTTGTGTTATGTGATTGCTACCTTTAAATTAACTGGGCTATTGAGATTCCAATCTTCGGCAACATCTTTTATGGATTATTTAAAAAAAAAAGACAACATCTTTTATGGATGCTGCTTGGCTTCCTAAAGAATTTGAATGTGGAGCACTTACAGTGGCTAAAAGATTTGAATTTTTCCTCCATGATCACTTTTATATAATTTTCAGTTGTTTTCTCTTGAGAGAAAATGTGAATCTGTTCAGATCTTTGAAACATGGTAGAAATTGAAGTTACCTGAACTCATTGGTGGTACCCCTTTGGTGCCTCTATTCATAATTCTTATTTCTCTTAGAAAAACTTATCTGATTTCATGGATTTTGTTAGTATTGTGTTGGATTTTTCAGAGTTTGGTGAGACTCTAGGGAGAAGACCAAAAAATTTTTTAGACAGTTATAAGAAGGGTTAGTGCATCTAAAAGTGCTAGCATTGGCGCTTTGTGAAGTGGACAACTTTTATTTCATGCAATTTGGGTACTCAAGGTTTCTAAGGGTTCATTTTGGTCCACTTGGTGTTTGCTATGAGCTACTAAAAGTTTTGTGGGAGTATCTTTTAGTAAAAGTAGCTTTAGGATGAAATTAGTTTAGTGTTTGGTCAACTACTTGTGCTCCTCTTCTGGGTGTCTCTTTTGATAATGAGTTACTGTTTTTGAACTTTGTAGAACATAATTTCATCATAAGTTTTGAGCTCAGATGTTGTTTTCCATTGCATATTAACATGTTTCTTCTGTGCAGGTTCTGGCCACCATTTGTGAGGAACTTCCTCCTGATGGAGTTCTCTTAATATATTTGTCAGCTTCAGGTTACATGGATACTGTATATCTCTCATTCATAGTTTTTCTAATTATTGGAAATGAGATTTTTCATGCTGTTTTACTTTGTACAAATGATCAGGAAGACTTGGACAGACTGTGTTGTCTCCCTTGGGTTCTGGAACTTGTAGCAATCCTGCAGAGACTCTTGCTAGGGACTTTCAATCTAATACAATCTCTCCTGTTGTGACTGCATCTTCTCCAATCAGGTCTCCAGGTCATAGTTCAAACTCTCCTTCAAGGCAAACCAAAGGAGAATGCAGGGGTTACCATAATAATTATTTGCACTTCGGTACTCGTGGAAATGGAGGTACTTTAGTGAGAACACCACAAGGAACTTTTAGTCTGACACAATCAAGTTTTACATGATCTTTGCTTATTGTTTAGCAAACTGACTGATCAATGGTAATTTGCTTAGATTAGTTTCCAAAAAAGAACTTACGTGCTTCCATTAAAGAGATTGCAAATAGATGACACTTCTTGCTCACTCTTTTGACTTCTATTATGAGAAGTTTTCTTTACATTGTTTCATCAAGTTGAATTAGTTATCACTCGGAGCAACTACTCGGTAAAACAATTGTGGGTGACTCTACTGCTATGTAAAACCTCTTGCTTGATCACCTGTTATATTCGTGAATTATTTTCTTGATGTATTTAACCCTTGAATGCATTATTATTTCAAATCTTTTCTACAAAATCGTTCATGTAATTGGGATTGTGGGTGAGGTCCAAATTAACTTGAAGAATAAATCTTATTAGAGTTTCTATAATTATTTTTACTATATAATTTTGAATTGTCTTTATTATGGCAAAGGAGTTGTATGCTTAAAAAAAGCAAGTTAAAAGGAAAATTTTCTTTTCAGTGTCTCTACCAATTGGGGCATGAAATGTGATGTCTAACAATAATTTAAGGGATCATTTGTATATTTTTTGAGTGTAAAAAATGAAAATGTTTGGTTATAATGTTATATTCCCTTGTTAAGGATCAAATCATCGGGTGATTAATAATAAAGTCGTCTTCTAATAAAAGGTTAACACCTTTGTTCTTATTACGAGAACAACCTATTTTATGAGAATAGATAATAACTCATCAAAGGGAGCTGCTATCTTGAATCTTATTAGAGAGAACTCCAATATCGTAGTTTAAGGTAATATTCTGACTTGTCTTTATTAATAGCAAACATACCCTTTTATGTAGAGGTTCCGATTCTTATTTAGAAATTTTAATTTAGTTAGGAATTTAAATTTAATTAGAAATACTCTATCCAAATATTGGAAATCCTATACTATTTAGGAATCCAATATTTATAGAAAATCATATACTATTTACGAATCTAATACTAATTAGTATTCTATATTTACTATTTAGAAATCCAATATTAATGGAATATCATCAACCATTTAGGAATTCAATACTAATTAAGATTTTATGTTTAATTGAACTCTAACCTCCTGCTTAAGCTCTATAAATGCATTCATAACATTATTCCTCCCGGTGTTCAAGCTTGAAATATAGATATATCTATCTTGTCAGTCATTTCTTGTTACTCGGAACCAGTATTGTGTTCAATTTCGAGTCAGAACGGCCATTTACATTGATGACCCAGAACAAATAACTCATCATAGTTATAATACAACCCCTTCAGCCTCTTTTTTGTCATCTCTGCTTTTGTTAGTTTCTTTATAAATTGAGGAAAAACGTTATTAGATTGTGTCGTAATGTTGCAGACTTGTGGAGTCGGTGTTTTCTCAACTGGATTGTTAGGCTTGGTCACCAACTGAGAATGGTCAGTATAACTATGTTTGGTCATAGCCGACAACTGTTGTTTCTTTTAAAACCTTTGGCCATGCTCATCACGTGCATAAGAGTGGTGAGTGATTGCATCTCGACCTTTAAACAGATAGAATTAATCAATCTTGCTGTGAACAAATTGACTTGCTGATCAAGGCGTATCATATAGGCTCGGGCCAACAGCTTCTGAAATTATCGTTGATACTTTTCAACATAACTTGTTTGCTTAAGGTTGACCAATTCGTCCAATGAGTTGCTTTATAGGGGCAGTCCAAAATGTAGCATGCAATACTTTACAAATGTTTCCTATACCATGTCTTGCTCTTCTTGTTGTAGGTTATAGTACCAAAGTTGAGTTTTTCCTAACATGTGAAAAAGCTGCTAGACATGTAATCAGAGGAGGTGCTCCGTTGATTAATAAAAAATTGCTTGCATCGATGGAGTTATATCAAGCATCTTCTGTCTTGTTGTAGGTGGGAAAGTCCAGCTTGGTATAGCATGGGATAATTCATTTGTTTCTCAGCTCTATGTTTATAATACGCGATTTCGATCGGTTGTCAGCGTGACCAAATCGGATTGTGTTGCTGTTGTCAGCTTTTGTTTCACCCTCTAAATCTCTATCGCACGACTGAGTGGCTATTTGAAGAAGAGTCTCCATTTGCCGAGACAGTTGTTGCCGTTTAGTATTCATCCGGACATCTGATTTAGCTACTAGATTTTTCAGTTCTTCATACAATTCTTGTTCACCCATGGTGTCTAGCTCTTATACTAAATTTTTATATTTCACTCGGTAAGAATCGAGTCACCAGATGATTAACAATAAAATCGTCTTCTAGCAAAGAGTTAACACCCTTGTTCTTATTACGAGAGCTGTATATTTTGTAAAAATATATTACAGCTCATTAAAAGGAGTTGGTACCTTGAATCTCATTAGAGAGAGCTCCAATCTTATAATTTAAGATAATATTCTGACTTATTTTTATTAATAACAAACATACTCCTTTATATAGAAGTTAGAATTTTATTTAGAAATCTTAATTTAATTAGAAATCTAAATCTAATTAGCAATACGCTATTAAAATATTGAAAATCCTATATTATTTAGAAATCAAATATTTATAAAAAATCAAATACTTATAAGAATCTAATATTAATTATAATTTCATGTTTAACTGAAATTCAACCTCTTATTTAGACCTTATAAATGTGTCTATAACATAATCTCATAAAACCCTTCTCGACTGTGTGAAAAGATAGATAGAGTGCAAGCTTTAGAATGAAGGAACTAATAAATAATTTCACCAATTTATGTTGTAAGATATTGATTCCTTCAGCATTAATAAGCTTATTCAAGCTGGTTGAATTGGGGAAAATATGATTCTTGCATGAAGGAAGGAAAATGAGTTGGTAAGAAGGTATGATCAGGATCTGAAGTTGTCCACTATCACACTGTCTGGGGATTTGTAGGAAGTACAACATCCTTATTGTTGGAAAGCATATATGTTGTATAATTAGGGTAGAGGATACATTAGTAAAATACCCATGTATGTAATTAACTGTAGTTTTTTTTTTATTACTCAGATAATGTGTATATATAGACTCCTTAGTCAATAATATAGGCAACAATTCCACTCTTCCACATGACATCAGAATTTTAGGAAAAAATATCCTAACTCTTTTACAAACCCCAATCGACCTTCATTACCAAAATAAGAAAAGCCTCAAAGGAACCAGCCTTAATAACTGCTCTGCCCAATCGTTCTACCACCTCAGTTGCATGACAACCTCAGTCGTGCGTCACAAGGTTCCAGCTATGTTTGCACTAGCAACCTGCTCTAGCCTCAGCCTGCCGACCCTGCTCCTATCCTAGTTGTGTGTCTCTAGCCGCATCCTGCTCCAGCCGTGCCTGCACCAGTAGCCTACTTTAGCCACTGCAGCCCTTTGCAAGAGCATGTGCTCCAACACTAGACAAGGCCTTCATTGCCTGAAATACTTCTTTTGATCATGTCTTAGGTCATGTTACAATCACAAATATAGGTGTATTGCATACTCAAGTATGTTTTCTACCTCGTATGGATTAAATGTCTCAGATAAACCATTTGCACTATCTTGGATTGTAGACTCAAGATCCATAAAGCACAGGAATGAACTCATCTAAGCACTTCAACACCTATGTCTTGTGTCACAGTTATTGCTGATTGTTCACTAGCCATATATATGGAAATATCCTGATATAGGACCATTAAATGCTACAGCATGCTTAAAACATAGCTTTAACTGAGATCAAATTATGAGCTCTGTACAGTTATTCAGTGGTTCTATATTTTATGTCCGGTAAGAGTACTGAAATTAGTTCTTATTTAAAAAAAAAGTACTGAAATTAGTTCTTATTTAAAAAAAAAGTACTGAAATTAGTTCTTTATCTTTGATTGTCTTACTGATTTCAATCATGATAATTCTTTATTGTTGTTAAGGTCCATTTTATTTTTGTTAGTTTTCGAGTTTAGGGGTTCCTTCCCATTGGTTGTTGTACAATTGACAAGAATCTGTGATCTGTTGGAAGTGGGGAATGAAGCCAAAGAAACTGCAAAGATAATCTTTGTTAGAGGCTAGTGCTAAAATTTCTTCTAGAAATTGCATTAGATATTTTGAAATGTAAGAACTCTTGTCTTTTTATAGTCTTCCGGTTTTTTGCATTTTCAGATAAAAAGTTCCAGCGATCTATTGCCACTCGCTAAAAGAAATGCTATGTTAAGCATTTCATTGCTCCAAGCTGTAAGGATCCCAGAAAAGGGGCTGGAAACAAGTAAACAGAAAAGGGGCGCACGAAGGTGAAAAATGAGTAGGAGCACAGGGGATGGTGACGGGTGCACGAGAAGACCGTGGAACCATCTGCAGAGGAGCAGGCGGACTTAGGGTTTACGCCAGGAGACCCAAACTCGTGTTTCATTCTTGTTAAAATCAGGATGCGTGTGACAATGAGAGCCATAGGATTATATGTCGATTGAGGGTGAAATCTCGACCATCCAATCCTCAGCTGGGGACGTGGACGACTATCGACAAGTGTTTTTAAGTTTGCAATGTAGGTTTTTTGAGTTGACAGATTCATTATGTCGGGTAGGGTTCTTTCTGGGGGCTTTTGGGTTTTCCAGGAAGGGTAGATTCAGAGTATTTTTTAGCCATTTTCTTGTGTATGAGTGACGATGTAGGAAAAAAATGAATTATTGTGGTATATTTCATCATCTCCTTGAGATTTTCTATCTCTCTCACTCTTTCTCTGTTTCTATCCCCTCAGTACTCTATTCTCTCTCTGATCCTTTTGTTCTCTTCCGACCCCCCTCTTTATTTCTCTCTCTTTCTCTTTCTATCTAAAGCCTGAAACACATGTCTCGAGATCATAACTATGTACCAGGGTGTTGACACAAGCTTTTTAGCTGGGTATTGCTTTTCTTGACAAGCTTAATGGTTGTATTTGATGTTGTGGTAACTAAGAGAAGAGCCTAAGTGGCATGTTTTATGACACAATAATGTATTTCCAATTGTTGGCTGTATACATAGTGGATTTGTAGCCAAAGAGCTCCTGTCTGATGGTCATTCTTTGAGTTTCAATAGTGGCTCTAGATAGGAGCCGATGGGTTACACAACTCTTGCATATATATGAGAAATGTACAAATTGTTTTAGCGGATTTTTCTTTTTCTCCTCATATCCATCACACGTTACTTAGCTGCCTTGAAATTTTGAAATTCACTTTATCAATATATTGCTAGTCAAAATTTTTTTTTTGAAATAAATATATTGTTAGTCAAATTATTTGTAGTTATGCGTGGAACGGGGAACTAAGATAATTTACCTTTTGGAAGGTAATCTATTTTGGTCCAGTTGGCATTCTGAAAAGAGTGGAATTGGAGAACCATTTCATTATTTATCTTTGTTTAAAATTCCACTTGGGGTGGTCAAGAGGATAGAGGGATGTATGAGGAGGTTCTTTTTCTTCTTTTGAAATAGTATGAGGAGGTTCTTATGGGCAGGGTCAAGGGAGAGATATAGGAATAATTTGGTAAAATAGGATGTTTGTTGTTGGTCGAAAGCAAATGTGGATTCAGAATTGGGATCCTTATATAAAAAGATTTTACCCTATTGGCTAAACGACATTAATGTTTTCCTCAGGAACCTAGCTTCTTGTGGCAAATGGAAATAAAAATTATTCAATGCTGGCTGTCGGAAGGTTGGGATGTTGTAGCAGGAAGTTCCATTTTTACAAAAATCCATGCAAAGCCATTTGTCAAGTACAAAATATTTACCTTCCTCTTATTTGTTTGAAAGTGAGAGAGGGCTCAGGAGTATTATTTTGGGAGGAATACTGGATTGGTAACAACACGTTATAAAGGACCCATCTCATTTTTGTTTGCCCGACAAATGGTACTATTGCCTAGAATTTCCCTTTTTTAGAAGCCTTTTCAATTGGGAGACCAATGACTTGTTGACCCTGCTAAATCTGTTAGAATCTTTCCAATATTAACTGCATCCCAAACATAGACTTTGGACCTCAGAACCTTTGAGAATATATACTTGCAAATCTGGGAATATGTACTTGCAAATCTTTCTTTTAACACATCAACC